AAAAAAAAAAAAAAAAAAGGAGGTGGGTCCTCAAGATGAGATGGTGCAAGCGAGGAGGTCACTACCTCTCACAGGACGATGTAGCTGCCTCTCATGGAGCCCTGGTCTCTTCCAGGCCTCTTTCTTGGTGCCGGACATCATTGTTCAATGTACTCTTCAAAGGGTCCTGCAGCTGAGGCTCAGAGCAGTTGGGTGAGTGACCCAAGGTCACAGAGTTTGGTGTTGCCCAATTCAGGGTCAGCCCCTGCCTCTTCCACCACATCACCCACCCACCTCCTCATCACCAGGATTCTGCTACTCCTTATTTCTGTGTTTGCAAAGGCAAAAGTCCCGGAATCTCATGCTGTGCTGTGCTTGTTTTGCAGATCCCGCGTCCGTGGCCTCCTTCGACTGTGAAGTGGTCCCCAAAGAGCCAGCCCTGGTTCTCAAATGGGCCTGCCCTCCTGGTGCCAATGCAGGCTTCGAGCTGGAGGTCAGCAGTGGAGCCTGGGACAATGCAACCCGCCTGGAGAGCTGCTTCTCTGAGAATGGCACTGAGTATAGAACGGAAGTCACGTATTTGAATTTTTCTACCTCGTACAACATCAGCATCACCACCGTGTCCTGTGGAAAGATGGCAGCCCCCACGCAGAGCACCTGCACCACTGGCATCACAGGTGGGCTCCAAGGCAGGGGCTGGTCAGACGGCACGGTGATCACTCCTGGAGCGGCTGACCCAGTGGGTCTGCACGTGTGGACTAGAAACCTGTTTTTGTGTTTTTATTTCCCCTGAAATATTTGCTTTTACTGGCGTAGACTTGTTTCTCATTCTATAGAAATTCTATAGAAAGAAAAAAAAGCAGAGTAAGAGGGGCTCCTTTTTTACATTCTAAAAACTCCTTTTCTTTACAGCATAACTCATTGCCATGTTTTCTTTTATATTTTTTCAAGATGGAGTCTTGCTCTTGTCGCCCAGGCTGGAGGGCAGTGACGTGATCTCAGCTCACTGCAACCTCTGCTTCCTGGGTTCACGCGATTCTGGTGCCTCAGTCTCCCGAGTAGCTGGGACTACAGACACACGTCACCACACCTGGCTAATTTTTGTATTTTTAGTAGAGACAGGGTTTCACCATATTGGCCGGGCTGGTCTCGAACTCCTGACCTCAAGTGATCCACCTGCCTCGGCCTCCCAAAGTGCTGGGATCACCCACCTGAGCCACTGTGCCAGGTCGTCCGTTAGCCCACATCTGTTGGTGGCTTCCTGTGTGCTGTGGTGAGGGACTCTATGGGAAGTATGGACAACAGGGCCCCTGGAGCACTGGACTGAGAAGAGCATTGAGAAGGAGAGGATTTCCAGGTCTGGTGGTGGGTGAGCTAGCATGCTGCTGCCAGTTTTGGAGCAAGGACCTGGGGATGGACCTTCTCTGGCCAGCTACAGGGCATAGAGCTGATGGGAAATGCAGGAGCCTGTGCTAGCAGTTGACCATTAGACATGGGAACGGCACCTCCCAGCGGGCACTGCTGCCAGGTACTTGCGAGGTTGCTGAAGCTTGTAGTTTAGAACAGCACCATCCACTAGATGGGCAATGTGAGCCTCAGGTATAATTTAAAGTTTTCCGGAAGCCACATTGAAAAAAAGGTAAAAAGAAATAGCTGAAATTAATATTAATAACGTTTAACTTAGTATATTAAAAGTATTTCAACATGTAATTTCTATATTAATGAATTATTTTACATCTTCTTTTGTACTAAGTCTTTGATATCTCATCTGTATTGTATGCTGGTAGCACATCTGAATGCAAACTGGTCACCTCTCGGGCTTGGCAGCCGCGTGTGGCTAGGGGCTGCTATATCAGCCGCAGGTTTAGACAATTATCTTGTGGTTGTTTTGGAGTTCAGATTTCCGTCTCCTTGAATCTTGAATATATATAATGATGAGAACAGGCTGGGTGTGGTGGCTTATGCCTGTAATCCCAGCACTTTGGGAGGCTGAGGTGGAAGGATTGCTTGAGCCCAGGAGTTTGAAACCAGCCTGGGCAGCATAGCAAGATCCCATCTCATTTATTTTTAAAAAATATAAAAAAATCCAAACTGTATATGTGAGATGAATTTAGGTAGAGAGAGAGTGTGTGGAGTGGATCATCTTTAATCCAGCATGTTCTTTCTTTTGTGTTAGTTCAGAGAGTGGCTCCACACCCTGGCTTGGAAAGGGAGGGTGCAGAATCATGGAGGTTATCCATGGAGGGTCCTGTGGGAGCTTTTCTGGTTTCTGGGAAGAGGATCTGTTGGGTTTCTCTAGGTGGTATTTTAGACCAACTCTGGGAAAAATGTGGGGACTGTTTATGAAGAACACGGGGCAGTGCCGTGGCCAGGTCTCAGTAGAAAGTACGTTCTCTCCCACCTCATCTTTGATTCTTCTCCTTGGACATCTGCTCCGTCTTTGCTCTCAGCCGACCGGCTGATCCTGGGGCCAGGCCAAGTCCATGTGGTGTCAGCGTGCAGCTCCCAAGGCCACACCTTAGAGTTCCACCACAGTCTCTTTCTCACTCTCCTTCCACCCCAGATCTCAGGATAATGAACCCGGCTCATCTCGAGTCAGAAGGGACTGGGGGAGAGGACAAGGGCAGGTTAGCTTCCCCGTGCAAGGATACTAACTTCTTACTCTAATGATGGTTTCTTTTACTGGGCAGAACCTTTTCAGTTTGATTTAATCTTGCTTGTCTAGTTTTGCTTTTGTTGCTGTGCTTTCTGTGTGGTATCTAAGCAACTGTTGTAAATACTGTGTCAAGGAGCTCTTCCCCGATGTGTGTGTGTGTGTGTGTGTGTGTGTGTGTGTGTGAATGTGTGTGTTTTGTTTTAAACAAATTTAACAGTGTACAGCTTTAGGTCTGATGTTTAAGTCTTGAACCTATTCGGAGTTTATTTTTGTGTCTGGTGTAAGATAGGGGTCTCGTTTTATTATTTTGCTCATGGATATTCAGTTTTCCCAGCACCATTTGTTGAAGAGGCTGTCTTTTCCTCATTGTGTCTTCTTGGCACCCTTGTTGAAGAATAGTTGACTGTATATGTGAGTTTAATTCTGGGCTCAGTATTCTGTTCTGTGGGTTGATGTCTGTCTTTATGCCTGTAATATACTGTTATAATTACTGCAGCTTTGAATAAAAAGATCTTGAAATCAGGAAGTGGGAGACCTCCAGCTTTATTCTTTTTCAACACTACTGTGGCTGTTCCTGGTCTTTCATTGTTCCATATGAACTTTAGAATTTTTTTTTTTTTTATATTCTGTAAAAATTGCCATTGGGATTTTGATGGGGTAGCATTGAATTTATAGATCGTTTTGAGTAGTGTCAAGTCTTCCAACAATATCAGGTCTTCCAATCCATGAGCATGGGATGCCTTTGTATGTATTTGTGTCTTCTTTATTTTATCAATGTTTTGTGGTTTTCACTGTACAAGTCTTTCATCTCCTTGGTTGTATTTCAATTATATTTCAATCAATCTGTTAAAAAATAAAATAAAAGCAGGCACAGTTCAAAACAACAATAGCAAAACCAAACAAGGCTGCTGGGTGCCTGCCCTGGGGATTTGGCTGGATGCCCTGAAGGGGTCATTGTGAGCTCGGCAGGTTTCCCAGGATCTGCTGTCTCTGCTCCTCACCAGTTTCCCTCCATGGCTTTTGCTTCTGGATTTGCTGCTTTGCAGAACCCAGCATGTAGCTTCCAGAGTAAGATCTTGAGGAGGTCGCTGAAGCATGTTCTCTACCTAATGTGTTGCTTTGGTTTTCAATATTGGGTGATCGTGTTTTGTTTTGTTTTAGATCCCCCTCCTCCAGATGGATCCCCTAATATTACATCTGTCAGTCACAATTCAGTCAAGGTCAAGTTCAGTGGATTTGAAGCCAGCCACGGACCCATCAAAGCCTATGCTGTCATTCTCACCACTGGCGAAGGTAAGGAGAGGCCTCCGTGGGTTAAACAGCACGTGAGTGATGCAGTGACCAGAGCTTTCTCTGTGCCCACTGAGGCACGTGAGTGATGCAGACACACGCCTGTCTTCTCACTGCAGCCCATGCTGTGTACTCAGACAGAGGAGGAGGGTGAGGTATTTGCCTGATGGTTGACAAGCTTTCTGGAAAGGGCCAGATTGCAAATATTTTAAGCGTCGCCGGTGGTATAGACTCTGTTGCAAGCATTCGACCCTGCCATTGTAGCGTGCAAGCAGTCACAGAAGATACAGAAGGAATGAGTGGGGCCATTCCCACTAGATGTTATTTACCATGGCAGGTGGCTGGATTTGGCTTGTGGCCCATAACTTGCTGATTGTGATCTAGGTTTTTCTTCTGTTTTACATCACAGGACCTTTTAGGTGGTAGAATATTAGTTTTAACCAACTCTGACTCTCTTTCTCACTCGCAACACACACGTACACACATGCCATCCTCAGCGGATGAATTTCCTTTGAAAGAAAATAGAAAAAGATTTGCATTTGCTAGTGGGAATTTGCAGAGTATCTCCTTAGCTGAGAGAAGAGGTGGATTAAAGGCTGCTTTTCCTTAAAGGGCTCTGTTACATTTTTTTGTGGTAGGAAAGGAATAATTCGAGAATCTCTTTGGTAGCTGTGTTTGAGTGCTTGCATAAGGCCTAGATTTTTTCTTTTTCTTTTTATTTGTTTATTTTTTTTGCGACGGAGTCTTGCTCTGT